CTTCCCCCCCCCCCCCCCCCGGCCCGCACCGCGCCCGCCGTGCAGCGCCACAACGCGCGGCGGCGCAAGCGCCCGCGTGACGGCTCCGCCGGTGGCGGTGACATGGGGGACTACGTGCACCACCACGCCACCAGCGCGGCGGCGGCGGCGGAGATGGCCAAGCTGGCCTCCTCCTATGCGCCCGCCGCCATCCCCATCTCCCCAAAGGAAATCCAGGTGTGCGCTGTGTGTGCTGTGTGTGCTGTGTGCGCTGCCTGTGTGGACAGCTGTGTGAGGTGTGTGCCTGAGTTGGTGCCGTGTGTGGTGAGCCTGACGGGCACGACGCCCCGGTGCGAGCTCGGCCTGGCCTGGCAGCAGTTCAGCTGACCGGCGCCATGCCGTGTGCCGCGCTCACGCCCTTGCGCCTGCCTGTGATCATGCCTGGTCCCTGCGCCCGCGTGTGCGCCCGCAGGCGATGCAGGAGGCGCTGCACTTTGCCAGCACCACCCTCCAACACTCCTCCCAGGTGGTGAGTTGGCTGCGGCGCTGGAGCGGAGGCAGGGCTGCTCTTGCGCCGTACTGCCTACTTCGCTGTGCAGAGCGGGCGGACGCAGCTCCTCCCATCTCCGTCCCTGCCTCGTAACAGCAGCAACGCTGAACTGCGTGCAACATGCGCCGGACCGACCAGCCGACCGGCCTCCGCTGCGCCGCCGCAGGTCACCGGCAAGCCGGCGGGCGAGGAGGGCGGCGAGGGCGGCGGCGCGGTGGCGATGGGCCCTGGCTCCATGCCCTTTGTGCCCGCCCCCGACGTCATGATGCTCCTGCTCAAGGGCTACGCAGGTGGGCAGGGCGCACGGTCGCGTGCGCTGCGTTGTCGTGCGTGGGAGGCGGCGGATGGGCAGGCATGGAGGTGGCGGGCTGGGCTGGGTCGTCGTCTGCGGCGACGGCGGCGCCCGGGCCGACGTGGGGCCTGCACGGCCGCGCCGCCGCCCCGCCGCGCTTCCTTCCCTGCACCGGGACGAGCTGCCTGCCCTGCTGTGCGCGACCTGCTGCCCCCTCCTGCTCCCCGCCCGCCCGCCCGCAGCCATGTTCCATTACACGCTGGACGCTGCCACGCTGCGCGGGCTGGCCCCACCCTCTGACCTGCCGGAGCAGCAGGTGTGTGTGGGGGGGTGGGGGGTGGGCCCAGCGCGCGCCGGGTGGCAGCGTCCAGCGTGTCATGGAACATGGCTGCGGGCGGGCGGGCGGGGAGCAGGAGGGGGTAG